CCCCCTCTGTTTTCCTCTGCTTTCAAGCTGCAGTAGTCTGTGTGACTCTCCTTAATCGATTTGAAGGAGATCAGATCAAAGCCTCCCATGAAGTTCTAGCTGAGTATCAGCGACGACCTCAGCAATTGATTGCAACATTGATCAAAAAACGCCTTGGGTTGATTAATGACACGGAATTATTAGATAATGCAGTAGTCTAAAGTATTGCAGAAGGTATGAGCCTGAAACAGCATATATTCATGGATGCGAACTACGAATGTTATGTACATTAACGCTGTTGGGTTTTTGTATGAAGCACAAGAACAGGAAAAGAGTGAATTGAAAGACAATTTCACTGACACTTTGAATTTAGTAGGAGGAAAACTAATTTCAATTCTGAATACATTATTTTACCTACAGGAAAATACTGGATTATGCTCGTTGCCACCGGAAGAATTTCCTGCATTATTAACTACCTAGAATTAATATTAGTTAAGTAGCAGCTGAAGGCAAAGAAAGGAATGAAACCGCCAAGTGTTTAAAAAGTGTGATTTAAAGCCCAACATGTTTTATATAAGTGAACTTCATTGGGAAAGATCAGTCTGGAAATAGCTGTCTATAGGCTGTTTCAACTTGGCTACCCTAATAACGATTTTGGATCGAAATTATTATAGACTGTTAGCTAATGGCATGAGATCATTTAGTGGTCATCGCAAAACTCCTGTTTATCCTACTAAGGGGTTAACTGAATGTTAATGTCAAAACAATGTAATGTCACATAAATAAGATACTTTTTTAGGATAAAATGCCTGGAAGTTCTTTGAAGTGTTTCATTAGTCGGAACCTTGACAGTTAACGTCATGATACCAGGTCATTTACTGGACAACATAAATAATGATCACTGAAAATACCAGACTTAATCCTAGCTAAATATGTCAACCCAAGAATTCCCCTGCGGTGCAAGAGCACCATATCTGTAACAGGGAGCTAGGCTACTTCTTACTGTATAGCTCAGGTGACAATTTGACAATTTTGATTCAAAAATAGGGCTACCATTCCCATGTTTTTATAGCTCAGCATACCTGCAAAATGAGATTAGAATATGATTTCCTAACACAGTAGGTAACATTTTATTTTAGACACCTGTCAAGCATTGATCAAACAGCCTTAAAATATTTAAACAGAAGATGTCAATGTATGGCAAGCTCAAAGCTGCACAGAAATTGTTCCTAGCCCATGATGCTATGATCCAAGTTGAAGAAAAAACATCCTGGTGCTGATTTCAGTACCTGTCAGGTGATGAGTTCTGTCATGACAAGCCAAGAGAAAGAAGAAAATCCGGTACATTAGAGATGCAGAAATGTGATCAGAAACTCCTGCTGACAAATTTTGACTGTGCATTTGTCTGCTACTCAAAACCCAAGAAAGGAGAATCTTAGTCTTTTCTAAATGAAAGAAAGTCTATAGTGCTTAAAGAAAAGCTGTATTAAGTTGGATCTTCGAACTGTCTCCTCTTATAATAATTTTACAGTACATCTATATAACTCATTGTTTCATATATCACAATACATCTATTGAAAATTTCTGTAAAAAAAAATCATGCGGTAAAATAACCCATAAAAGAGAGTAAGGGAAAAATGTTTAAGAAAGTATTGTACTAGTGATCATGTGTTTAATAAATATTTACAACAGTTTTGAGGTAGTACTTTCTCTTTTAGTTTTTGAATGGCCCAGGGAGAGAAGAATGATCTGAGCCCTGTGAACTGCCACTCCAATCAACTCCCAAACTGACCGGTCATTTCAGAGAGGACATTATGAAAAAGTAATGTCTATGTTCACACAGCTTAACCAGGTTAAACGTCTTATAGCATAATTTTGGTTTACGTTTGTGGCTATTTGGGAGGAAGTGTGGCTTAGTGTGGCACATAATCCCAATTACTATCTTAAGAAGTAATGAACTGTGCAAACTGGGAAACTGAAAAGTGATTTCAAGTTGACTCATGATCATCTTAACTTTGACCAATCTTGAAATGCTGAGTACAGGTAGAGACTACCAGAACACAATCATCTTCCTTTAAAACAGACATGTCAAACACAAGGCCCGGGGGCTGGATGCGGCCCGCGAAGTGGTTTCATGTGGCCCGCAAAGCCATCCTGGAAACAGTGAGGGAATGGCCCCCGCTGCCTTGGCCCTGACCCAGGTCAGCCGGGAGCCAATGTACAATTTTGTGGTGGCCATCTATGCTGAAATGCATTCAGTCTTAGCTCCACAAGGCCGTCCGGAAACAGCAAGGAACCAGCCCCTGCCACGTTGGCCCAGCCCCCTGGGTGCATGCTGGGGAGGTGTCATCCTTTGTGAGGAATGAAGAAATGGACCATGCCTTGGTGCTTGCCCTCAAAATACAAAGAGTCCAGGTACAAGAGCTCACATCACAAGAGTTCACGTTTGTTCCCGGCAAATGCCCCACCCCACAGCGTCTCCTTAAATACCGACTCCCCAGGTGTGCCTTGTGGAATGGGGCGTGACGCTCTCCTCCCGAGCAAGTGAGCCTGCCTCCGCCCAGAGTCCATGTCATCCTCAGAGTCAGGCTCGGACGGAGGCATGACATATACACATATATACACATACACATACATAAAATCTCATTTGGATTTAACAGACATTCTGATTTAATGAGCATTCTCTTTACCCTCATTTGTCTGTTAAATCGAAAGTTTATTATAACTGCTGTAAGGAACATTTACTCAGCTGCAAAGGTGTGATTCCTTTTTCTGTTTAAGAGTCACTACAAAGACTGATTAGGCTGTCAGCATTTTTTTTTCAACTAGGCATTTTTTACAGCAGCTTTAAACATGGTTGGCTATAATGGCAGGATTGGGGGAATATAGCAAGATATTTTTGAAACAAGCAGAAGTGAAATTGAAGAATTGTATCAGTTTTCTCCTCCTATTCGTAGGGAAATAGCAATGCTGCTAATGGCTTTTTTCCTCTAGTGACTGTTTTGCAATGGGAGCTGCCTTGACGTATATTCTAAACTGAAATTCTATGGAGAAAAAATAATAGTTGCATTCAGCTAAGCAGGCAGGGAGTGAAATGAAGAAGGAGCTCCCGCCAATGGGGAAATAAGATTGTCCACCAAGGCATCATTTCAAAGCACCGGATCTAGCTCTGCTGCAATTTCAAACACAATGGAGGTGAGCCAGCAATAAAGCACACTCAGCTACCACCTACATAAAAAGGTCACAAAGGTCTGGAGTGTTTTTGGAATGGGTGCAGAATCCTCATGTGGAAATACTGAGAGAATAATAGTACTTGGCAAAGTTATCTTACTTGTTCCTTCACCATAAACATCACAGCAGGGCCTACTTACTTGGACAGCAGAAACGGAGGAAATCAATAGATGGTAGCAAAGAGAGTTTTCTATATTTCTTTGCTGCCATCATGTGTTATCCTGTTGTTGTTGTTGTTGTTGTTGTTGTTGTTTTTGCAGCCTAGGAAGGGTAGCCAGTGTTTCTCGACCTTGGCAACTTTAAGAAGTGTGGTCTTCAATTACCAGAATTTCATGCTGCCTGGAGTTGAAGTCCACACATCTTATAGTTGCCAGGGTTGAGAAACACTGCCCTAGACACAGGTCCACCAATTTTCCTTCAGAGGTTTAGATGTTTGATTTTGTGTCTGAGTAGGAAATATCTAGGAGAAAGGCATGATATAATTTCTATTTCTTATAAGCACAAATGTATATTACTTAATTAGATCTCACAGATAGATTCAGCAGGTGAGGCTCTAGTTTTTCATTTCACCTTCAAGATTGCACAATAATGATATATTCCCCGGCTTTTGGTAGGCCTGCTCATTTCTGTGATTCATCCCTTTCCCCAATTGCAAAATTTGAGAGCCTCATTTGAGTCATTTGTTCAGGGGACATGTGTAGATTTGCCGTAAGCTTTGTTCATGCCACAGGGTTAGATCTTTTAATAATACTTCAATAGACAAAAGGAAATGTATTCTAGAACCAGAAATAAACCCATTTCCCCCTCTGTTGGACATTTAAACTAGACCTCAGAGCCTACAAAGCTAAAGTCAAAAATTATTGCAGTAATGAGCCTTGCCATACTGCAATGAAAAGTCTAATTTGCGTACAATGATTTCAAAGAACAAAACATCTATCACAATTCATGGAGTGCATGAAAGTAGTTTCTTTCCAAAGGGTTAGGTAGGAGTGAGATGTACTTCACAGTCTGAAAACCACTGTGCTGCCTCATTAGCCCATCGGTGACAGCAAAGCCTGTAATTCCAAATATTGTCATTTGGTTTTGTTTTCATCAGCAAAAGTATTTCAGGAGTGGCTTTTTAACTGTGAAATTACACGAATGTACTATGGGTTCCAAGCATGAAGACAATCTCGTTTGTCTGCAGTAGAACCTGAGGGGAATGGTGGTGAGGAACCAGATCTAGCTTCATAGCGTTCAGGACAACTTGCCGCAGCCAACTTGTCGCAACCAACTTGCCAAGGCCAACTCAACACGAGACAACTTGCCATGGGATAACAGTTACACTAATATCAAAGAAATGGTGGAACAGAATCATTAAAGAAAAGATGCAAAAGGAAGGACAAAATGAAATGCAAATGTTATGTGCTCCTGGCTACTTTCCTTTGTGACCAGAGGCAAGCTCACCTGATCAATAACTAGCCAAGACACAGTGAAGGCTTTTTGTTTCATTTATTGCAATAAGCGGTAGAGAAGCTTTCAAAGCTTGTTCTCTCCAAAGTTTCAACCCAAAATATTCCCTTTTTTATACAACCCTGTCCCGGCCGCCACATCCCTCCTCTTTCCCCATTGGCTCAGGTACTATGAGGTTACCCTCTTTCTGACTGCCTCCTATTTCCTGCTACATACTAAATTATACATCACATGTACATTAATAATATAAAATATTAGACATTCAATTTTTGGTTTTGAGTTCTGGGCCCTTTAGAACAATAGGTTCTTTCCTGTTTTTCAGTTTAGTTAAGTTTTCCTGGCTAGCCATTCCCTCTTACAGATGTTTTTATAGCTTGTCTTCTTCCTTTCCCACTCTAAGACCCAACTAATTTTTGCCTACATATTTATTTTACATCCTCCCTTTATGCTATCCTTTCCTATTTCCCATCCATTATAATTTTGGTAAGCTTGCTTGTCCAGGCAGTAAGTTTCCATTGCAGCAAATTCAGACATCTTACATGCAATGCAGACATGTTACATGGCTGAATGGAATTTACCAAATTGATGTGTTGATGGAACATAACAGTATATTTAGGAGCTTTTCCATAGTCGTCAAATAATTACTTCCCGCCACCATTTATTCGTTTCAGAAAATCACTAATTATTGCAAGACCTAAAATACTATAAAGTGGTCAGGCAAAGCAGGTTTCAAAAGAGAAGAGAGCCTTCCAATGAAAAGGAGAACAAACATTTCCAAAGTCCAAAGATGGTTGTGGGAAGCTCTCATCTGTAGGAATCTCAGCAAGCTTCTTAATATTAAAAATGTAAATTCTTACATATGTTATTATCCTAACGTTCGTTCATTCATTCACTCATTTCAATCCATTCATTCATTCATTCATTCATTCATTCATTATTTTCTCCGACTGCCCAGGGTGGCTCTCCTTATTTGATCATTACAAGAACTGTGTAAGGTTAGGCTGAGAAAGTACAATTGGCACAAAGCCACTCCTGGCACACTGTCATACCATAACATAGTCAAATAATTTGCAAAGATTTTAGCATGAAAAGCAGCCCCTATTGTATTGAAAAGATTATTGAAGATGCAGTTCAACCTATTGCAAAAGATCTACCATCGGTAGGTTGATCATCATTCTTGATCATGGAAACAGGACGCTAAATTATGCCACTTACAAATATCTCAGCCATTCAGTTGGTTCAATTAGCTCCAGTCTTTCGACTTATGGCACATCTGGTGTGGCTGTCCAGTGTCCTAGAGAGCATTTCTGGTGAGAGGCAGAATGCCTACATAGTCTATTAACTCACTAGCTCATTTGTGGAAAACAAAAAAAGCAATGCAATGAGATGGGGGGGGGGGAAACCCCTAAAAAGAGATCCTACTTTAACTGGGGCCAGCAAGTCACTTCTTCAAATCCACTTTCCCTTCCTGAGCACCAGACATTTTTTTTCTGATCTCTGCTGAATTAGAGCAATGAAAATCTGAATAATGTTGGCTGGCTGAAAACAGTTTGTCGGTTTATTCACTGCTTCCAGGCATTAGCGTGGCTGGGAATCCCTAGTTAAGCCCAAGCCCTTTTGCTTTAAAATCCACATTCTATTTCAGACACATTTAGGTAGAACAACAGTGATTAGATCATATATTTGGGTATTTGGAGCTGTTCAGGAAAATCCACTTTTTCTCTGATTTCATCAGAATATCTCTTCCTACACATGCATACATTTTGATACTAATATACTGAATCAAGGCTTGCAAGTTTCCTGGTTCTGTAAGAGTCTTTCTTCTAATCACCTCATTTTCACATACATATCCAGTTTACCCAAGACAAAATGCACAACACACTGAAAATGTTTATAAAGTGCCCTGTACGAAACCTTAAGCAATGGTAGCCCGTGTGTGTGTGTGTGTGTGTGTGTGTGTGTGTGTGTGTGTGTAATGTATTTTCCCCTATAACTTAAAAATCATAACAAAAAAGCATCCCTCTCTAAAAAAAAAACCCCACCCTTTTGCCCTTTTTCCCCCTTACATTATGAAGATCTAGCAGGTCAGAAATTAACTATGAACAATTGAGTTAACAGGTTCTTTACTGGGATTTAATTAACTATGAACAATTGAGTTAATAGGTTGTTTACTGGGATTTACTGAAAACATAAACCATGTCAAACTGTCTTCAATCATCAAGCCTGTTTAACTATGATTAAGCCCTACTGGGGTTTGCAGTCCTTATCTCTCTGCAACTACCGAATCCGCTGAGAAAATAGCAGGGCTGGGACTAAAATTTGAAGTCTGTAAACCTTGAGAACTACAATTTATTTTTCTTTTGTTGGGCAAGTCGGCAAAATATAGAAACACTGCACAAGAAAGATAGCTGTCACATCGAGCCCTGTAAAAAAATATATGTGGCTTTCAAAATAAAACACAGAGTTTTCTAAAATGGAACCACTATCCAGTCCCCAACCAAGAAACAAATTGTTTGAACTGTAGCTAATTGGCAAACGACAGATTTGATGTACCTTGTTTACATATATTTCATATGCACCTGGCGTAAACAATGGAAATGCTTTTAATGTTCCAAAATGAGATGGTTTACAAGTTCACTTTGCATACTTTATTAAGGACTCTTGTAGCTAAAACACCGAGAATGAATTGAAAAAAGTATGAAGTTCATTTACAAAACGAAATTGTTTGGAAGACTGGTTTGCGGTAAACATGACGAATCATACTGGTTTCCATAAGTAAAGAAAGTTTCCATTTTCCATGTATAATGATAATAATAATCAAGCCATAGAAGCTCATATTAATGAGGGTTTTTTTTATTATTAAAAATCAAGTAATAGAACTTGCCTTGAAAATGAAGTGGGCAATTACTACCCAGGAAAAACAAACTGTTATAAGTTGGTATGAACGGATGAATTCTTAAGTTAGGAATCTGTCTTTAAGAAAATTGGTTGTCTAAAAACCATTTCAGGATGGTTTCCAGAGACCTGAAAAGAAGAGGAGGCAGGAGTCCAATTGGGAACAGAAACAGGAAGGCATCCGAAGGTGCCTCGTGGATTTACATAAAGGTTTGGGTTAATCTCTCCCAATAGATTGCTCAAAATTAGCCAGTGAGCTCTGCAGAGGAGTGTGGTCTGAATTCTGGATATCCCAGCTGAATTCAGGGCCAAGTGCTACTTTTCTAGCCTTGATGCAAACAAGTATATACATTCCCATATGGATAGCCAAGTATTGGTTGAAATTTCCTGCAGGTGTTCATCAAGAAAGATGCTTTCCTCTAAAAAACAATTAGACTGTAGCTTTAGTAAATTGTTCTAAGAAGTCCATTCAGCAATGCTCAAGATTTGGGGGCGGATGTGGGTGGGTGGGAAATAGGAAACGGTCCATTGAAACTTGCTAGGCAATGCATTATTTTCAATATATTTTCTTTACAAAGGAAAAGAAAACATCATTAACTCAGCATCCAGCTTTGTTTTTGAATTATAACAGTTTATTTATGCATTCTTACTGGTTAGGAAGACATTTTTTTAAAAAAATAAAATAAAATAAAGGATTTGACTATGTTGCAAAGCTCTATATTTTAAAAATTGTGGAGACCATGTCTCTCCTTGGAAGCTTAGGTGGCGGGATTTTAGGTAAGAGCTCTTGAGCATAAGCTGTGCTATGAAGTCCAGCTTCTCGGAGAGCCAGCTCAACACGAACTCGGGTATCAGAAATTATCTGAATAAAAAAATAATACAATATGTCAATACAAGCCTCATATAATAATTCGCTGCAGTTAGAATCAATTCCAAGTCATGCCTCAGGAACACGGCCACCCCTCTGGTATTAGGTAGATAATTTGTACCTAGGGTTATAAACATTTTTAATAATAATAATAATAATAATAATAATAATAATAATAATAATAATAATAATAATAATAATAATAATAATAATAATAATAATAAAGTTGGAAGGGACCTTGGAGGCCATCGAGTCCAACCCCCTGCTCAGGCAGGAACCCTACACCATTTCAGACAAATGGCTGTCCAGCCTCTTCTTAAAAACTTCCAATGTTGGAGCATTCACCGCTTCTGGAGGCAGGTTGTTCCATTGGTTAATTGTTCTAACTGTCAGGAAGTTTCTCCTTAGTTCTAAGTTGCTTCTCTCCTTGATCAGTTTCCACCCATTGCTTCTCGTCCTGCCTTCAGGCGCCTTGGAGAATAGCTTGACTCCTCTTCTTTGTGGCAGCCCCTGAGATACTGGAACACTGCTATCATGTCCCCCCTCATCCTTCTCTTCGTTAAACTAGACATACCCAATTCCAGCAGCCGTTCCTTATATGCTTTAGCCTCCAGTCCCCTAATCATCTTTGTTGCTCTTCTTTGTACTCTTTCCAGAGTCTCAGCATCTTTTTTACATCGTGGTGACCAAAACTGGATGCAGTATTCCAAGTGTGGCCTTACCAAGGCATTGTAAAGTGGTATTAATACTTCGCGTGATCTTGATTCTATCCCTCTGTTAATGCAGCCCAGCACTGTGTTGGCTTTTTTGGCAGCTGCAGCACACTGCTGGCTCATATTTAATATTCTAATCTTCCCAAACTTTTAACTCTATTTTTTAACTTTTAAATGTTAATTCCTATTTCAAATTAGTTACTGTAATTCTTAGTGTTTATTGGACACTCCTTTCCCTAGATTTCTGGCTGATTCCAGCTA